GCGGTGTTTCCAAAAAATCCAAAATCTGTGACGTTTCGGCCACGAGGCTGTTCCCAAATGCTGCCGTGTTGAACAGTGGGTGGGTTTCGAGAGGACCGCATACAAATAAGCCTGATTGCAACAAATATCGATTAGCTTCCGATGAAGCGTGTGAATATCATTCCAGTCTTACGTATGACAGACATATAAATGCAATGCGATTTTGGGCTTGCTTTAATTGTCTACACCGTTTCACGGAGCACATTTTTCGAAAAGAATAAATAGTGGCGAACAGGGTCATTTTCACTGATTTGTAGTCATGCTAATACATCACAATAAATATCACAATGTTTATACCTGTACGTTGAGTTGATGCTATTCTGCACGTGATCAACATGAGATCAGGAACGAACAACCTGTTGAGCAAGTTCCATGCTGCCCACCAGAATATGAGATTCTCATTGGAAATGGAAAATGACAAAAAACTGGCATTTCTAAACATCTGTTTGAGTTGTAGCTCATCGCATGGCTCGGTGCAACGATAGGACGACGACTTGGATAGGCGAATATAGCCACTTTCGGAGCTTTGTATCGTTCACAGCGAAGAGGGATTTAATGTGCTGTCTAGCAGATAACGCAAAGATGATTTGTAGTGAGGACACAATGAAAGAAAAGCTCCGGTTTTTGCGTGCTATCCGGAACGACCGGTTAGCAAGTTGATTCAGTGCAGCGGAGATATTGTGAACAAGACCGAGGTCAAAAAGCAGTTGATAAATATTGCCGTGCCTTTCAAAAGGGATAGATAGATATATCAGTAGAAGTAACAAAGCAAGACCATCTGATGCTGTTAGTAGGACCCTCTTTGCAGCAATGCCCAATTTTCTGTTCACATCCCAGGCAATTGTGTGTTTACGTCTATGCGTATGAGTTTATTCTGTATATGATTTATTTACTCATTGAATGGTTTATTGATTTATTGATTCGTTGAATGAGAGTAACGGAGGATTTATTGTTCTATTTATATTGGTGACTTCATCGTGTAAATGCGAGGTGAGCTGAAAAGCTAGGAAGCACGGGATAGCTGTGCCGACTTGGTTGGGACTGCATCCATCGATCCCACTGAAAATCAAATCCGACACCCCACAGTTAGAATGCAAACAGTTGGATTGATGGATTAGCACTGTGGATGGAACCTAATGGGTCAAAACAGCTGTCCCGTGCTTCCTAGCTTTTCAGCTCACCTCGCATTTACACGATGAAGTCACCATATAAATAAAACAATAAATCCTCCGTTACTCTCATTCAATGAATCAATAAATCTCGCGCCGCATTCAAAAGACAAATTCATCGTGAGAACAAATCAATTCCTCCACTCCTATCATACGAAAATACGCGTATCTGATACTCGAATATTTATTCTTGCATTATTATACTCCAGTTATGCACTCTTATTGTCCTTCAACCAAATGCTTCATTAAATGTTTCTTTCCAAATTTCTCTCTCTCCCTGTCCCGTTAACATTGCATACCGATTCAGGCATGACACAAAGAACCGACAGAGCAATTCTGTTGGTAAATCTGGATTGCCGACATTGCAGAGTAAGTGAGAATCGTCGTCTCAATCGGTTCCCATTTTTCAGTGTGTTTCTGTGTGAAGTAGCAAAATCACCCGTGTGCCTGTATTTTTTTTGTTGCTATTCAGGAGTAAGCGAAACCTCGTTAAACTTGGCATTGATATTGCGGTATCAGACAGGGGTAATCAATCCTCTCGCCAAACAAGAGTGGGATCCGTAATGAATGATTGACGTACGCGCTACTCCGAGTGGCATGGAATTGGTTGTTTTTTTAGTTTTTTTTTAGCCAACACCAGTTAACTGATTTAACGGTGGTTATTTTTTTCAATTGCTGTTTTAGAAAACCAGGGAATATGTGACTGGTGATCATTTATTTATCGGCCCGAACAATTTGAGTTAATTTCAATCTGTTTGGGGAACCATTTGAACGACATTGGAACTAAATGCCCAAATTTGTCGCCCAATGCAATTTATTCAGTCTATAGAACTGTAATGAAATGTTTTTATTTGGAATTGTAACAGATATAAAAAATAGAGATGTTATATCATTCAAATCATGCTCACATATTTGTCAATATATTTTTTTGAGGTAGGAGTGTATTGGGATGTAAAATGTTTCCGGTAAATCGAAATATTTTCACCTACTTCATTAGGGGTGCTCGGTTCCGAATTTTTCATGGTTTTAGATTAGTGGACGTTCAAGGCATCCTGACGGGCGGGTGTGAGGCTGGGCGTGGAACAGGGCTCAGATTTACGTGTTTTAATCACGTGGATAATTGGGCATGTCCTATGCATCAAAATTGGTGCACTATTCGGTTTCCGTACTCCTCTGTTCCCGTCAGGGTGCAGTCCAGTTAGAAGGCTGAAGAGGTCTTTCTCGTGTACAAGATTTCAAGTAATTCAGTACTGTCATGAAACCGTTCTTTTGTGTGGGGTATCAGTTCTAGAAAAGCTTGGGCCCCAATGTTGACATGGTCTCGATACGGTAAACGTTTCATACACCCATGGGGCACTACAATTCTCAGAAGCATTTATCCTAAGTGATTGTTTACGCTTGGATCATAACAAGCTAGCCTGAAGGAGCACGCAAAAGCACGGATGGGCTTTGATGAACCACGTGATTCAGAGGCAGGCGGATCAATAATCGTATTGTGCGTCGCAACACACGGAGAAAATAGCAATGGTCTTCCTTGTGTTATTTGTGTGTTAATCTGTTTTCTAATTGAAACTTAGTTTACACTACTTGATTCGGTTTCATTGATTATCAAGTGGGTGGGGGTGGATGGGAGCGGACGAGAAACTCCATAACCACGAAGACTGTTCTGATATGGGAATCTGCGATGTAAGCCCGGAGTCTTACACCAGCGAAATGACACGAGGTCTCAATACACAAAGTAGACTTGGTGTCGAACCGGACGTCAGCGCAGCTGTCCAATAGCGAGGATAAGGTACGAACCTCTCACCAGTGGGCCTAAGTAACAGGGACTCAAAACGTTTGCCCACCGAAGTTCGAAGTACGTTTCACCGATCCACAAAGATTTGCATGCAAATATTATCATTATTTCAACACCTAACCAGTTACAGAGAACCGGCAAATGTGCCACAACATATGAGCAAAAGGAAATCTGAACAATGTGTTCATAGGTTGTGTGGACATGTTACTTCCCGGTTGCCCTGGCCGAGGAAAAAGGATAACCTCGGAGTCCCCACCCAAAGCCTTTGGTTAGAAAGCCAAACTTGCAAGACAACAGGACGGAGCTCAGAGTCCGCAGTCCATTGGGAGCCGGTGTTCAGTCCATCAGATCATACGTCCTACGGACGAGGTCAAACGTCCAAGGTGCCCAACTAAGCCGGTGACCATTGCCACAACCGAAAAGGTGTGGGTATCCTTCGAACTCCTCCTCTTGGTTGGCTTCGAATCAGGGATTTTGGCCAACTCCCCTAGGTGAACTACCAGTGATCCACCAACCCGCGTATAGCCCCGGATGTCCGCTTTTCGGCCCCTGACTTTATCGGGAACACACCTACGCCACGAGAAGGCAGTAAGCAGGGATTCCTCAGCAGAGGCTATTCGAGACGCTGGGTTGCATGGGAGCATTTCGCGAGGTGTAAGGGAATGTTGACCAGTCACAACCCAAGACACCCACTTCGACCATTCGAAAGATCATAAGATTTCCTTGAACAACGTTTTATTTCCATACAACTGCAAGAATCAATGTTCTCTGCTTCTTCGTTGGAATTATCAATGCAGTAATGTCCATGTAATACATTAATGGTAGGAAAGTGTTGGTGGATGTTTCATGGGTATCCCGTGGAACGCTCAATTGATTTTACACATTGTACAATTAGTAAACTAAGATGATGATACCAAAATTAGTGATAGATGGCGATCTCTTGTTTAAATCTTCGGTATAATCTGCAATCATTGGTCATTTCTAGCTTGTACAGATCACAAGGATGAGAAATTGTCCGAGACATTCGAAGTGGCACTTGACGTGTTTATCCTCTTATAACAAGGTTGTCAACACGCCCTAGCGAACACATCGTAAAACTTTATCGCCCTAAGGACTAGCCTTCCGAGCCATTATTCGCAATTTGAACGAAATCTAGAGAGAGAGAGAAAAGCTAAGAGAGAGAGCGGATTGCCGTTCCGTCCAACCGAACACAAACAATCCCAAAAAGAATTGGGCAACTCTGAGCTGTGCCCTCTCTGCTGGGCTTATTTTGTGCGAGCGTGTTTGTGAAAACGAAAGCGCGAATTCGGACTCGGTGAACTGTTTCCAACTGTGTCGTACCCGATTCCGTGTCCAAAGGTTGGGACACATCACAAGATGTTGTAATCTCTGCTGTTATCGCGGATCTCATTTGTAAACTGTGCTGGTCCACAAAAGTGACTGTGTGTGTGTGTGTTCGTGTGGATGCGTGCAACAGCAAACGAAGTCTTTGTGCTGTTTTCACTTCCGACGACCCGGAATCGGTCGGTGGTGATGGTTCACGATGTTCACGATGTAGGGGGGGGGGGGGGTTNGTGTTTGCGCAAGTGACTAGACGGCAACCAAAGGAGGCGCAATATGGAGTGCATCGAATTAAAAAAAAAAGAAACTGTCCGAATCTCGCTCTCTCGAGGGTGCGCATCCAAACTACTACACATCACCAATCGAGCAACTATGGTTCGAATTTCTCTTTCAAACAGCTGAAACAGAAAGATGACTAACGTTCACGTGATCCACTGAAATTGTGTGCCTCAACGGGAGAAAAGATCCATAGCGAGACAAAAGTGCTGAGCGAATCAGAAACGCCCGCCCGCCCGTACGCACACACACACACACACACACACACAGGTAGGACAGAGTACGTACAAACGTGTGTGTATTGCGTTCTCTTTCGGACAAATCACGCCCATGTGCCGTAAGGTTGTGCATGGGATCGCAAACACACACACGGTCATGCGCACGCACAAATCGAGATACATTTGAGTGCTTCTGGTGACGATCGGCATGGGTGGTGCTACACAATACTACTAGCATGTGGCAAGCACGCACAGGCAACCGAGGTGACCAAACTCGAAGGCCCCGTCACACACACACACACACACACACACACGGCACCGGGATACGTAATGTTCGGGGTCGCAGGGACTAAGACACATTCGTGCATGCACAAGGGACCCACTAAGCCCACCGAGTATTGCACAGAAGCACGTCTTGCATTGGATCAGGCCAGAGGCTGTTGTGCGGATGTAAGTTTTTATTCTATGCAATATATGTTTCATCATTTCACCTCAATACTTTAAATATTCAAGTAAACTATATCGTATAAACACAGCAGACACCACAGCCCCAAAGTGTTCTATTATATTTGTCCAAATTCTTATCACTTTCTTGATGGCGTGTGTGTGTTTGATGAGATCGTTTTCATCCGGTTTTCGCAACTCTAGTCATTGTGAATCAGGTATTTTTGGAAAAAAATGGGGCAATGTTATAAATGAGGCATTTCGGTGCAATATTCTCAGATATTGGCTGTTCAAAATCCCTGCGTTTTAGGAATATAAAAAGACCGTAATCAGAAAAGATCTGCCTCAAACGAATGAAATTTAATAATTGAAAGAAATTTAGAGTGCTAAATCCTACAAAGCATCTATTTGTCTCAGTAACCATTGACTGAGATTGTCGAACCCGTTGTAAGTTACTAAGCCCGCTTAGCTAGCATTCAAACCGGTTTTTCATCACTGTTCTCCTCAGATTCATTGCTAACACATTATCCATCCATTTTTGCATGCTCTTCTCCCCTCACGCACACACACACACACACACACCTTGAATGTCAATCACAAACCAAGTTAAGATAGATACGACTCTTGTAATCATGGCGTTTGACCCTGATATTGCATTGTGTAGGTGAATAGAATTTCATCAACTGGCAAATCAAACCATCTGCGCGATTCGGGATAAATCAACCCGGAATGCTATTGATGTAAAAAAAATACTCTCAAATAATAAAAAATAATATATATTTCAGAAAACACTTAATGTCTTCATGTTTAATAGGAGCCTGAACACTGTGATAGCGGCTTGCCAACTTCATGGCAACATGTGTTCGATCTGATCACCTTATTATTGCTTATTCAGAGGTCAGTTTGACCGATTAGTTTGATATAGGATAAATCAACAGGTGAAGGAATCGGATCAGAGAAGCGAGAGTCGGGTAGGCCACTACACCGCATTGTTGTCGGTGTTTGTAACGACAGTAATTGCTATAATTATGTTCGTAGATTCCGTAAGTTTCTACACAATACAAATCTCACCCATTGCTGATTAAAATGGGCCCACGGTGAACAGCAGTGAAGGCAGACTAAAGCATAAAATCGTCTGACAGTGTCTATGCAAGTGCGCAGTAACTTGCATAGTTAGTGATCAAACTCACAGTACGAGTAGATCAAATGCATCAACCTTGCCCTGCTGATCGGAACTGAGCAGTGAGGCCATTCGCAAGAGTTTGAAGAGCACATAGAGTAGTAGCAATGTG